GCGTGCGTGCGCGCGTGCGTGTGTGCGCGCGCGTGTGCTCTGGGGGTGTGGGGGGGTAGGGTTGTGGGGGTGCGGTGCGGGTGTGGGGTGCGTGTGGCTTTTCGGCGTTAGCATGGGCGTGCGGTTCGGTGGGTGGGTGAATGGGTTTTCCCAATCTCCTACCTTGTTGGTCGCAGCCAGTTTGTTTGCAGCAGTTCAACAACGTGAACAAGCTGATCACGGTATCACTGGGTCCTCCATCGAGCTTGAACCAGGTCGCGTGTTGTCCGAAAGCTCCGGCCTGGGTGGCCTGAGCGGTTGTGGCCAGCACGCACCCTCTGGCGCGCCAAAGCTCTGCAAACTGCAACACAGTCCTAGCAGCACTGCATGGCAACCCTCTGTCCTGAGCATCTTCACCATGACTGAGGCGAGCGCATCTCTGCCCGAGCTAGGCCAACACACACGGCCACTGCAGTTCGAGGACAAGGCTGGCAGTCACTTGCAAGCATGCCGAGCTTTACATAACCATTTCCGTAAGTAGAGGCGGGTGTAGTGGAGTTACACATTGTGCTCAAGAAGAACAACACAAGCAAACATCGGGCAGCAGCCGAAAAAATCGCCAACAACAACAACAGCAAAAGCAACAGCAAACGCAACAACAATGATAATAACAACAACACCAGTTTTTTGCAATTGAACGCTGCGCGAGCGTGCTCTGCGCGTGGCGGGCGTATTGCCAAACCTGCACTCATGTGAAACGGAGATAAGCTGACGCAATAGTAACGATGATTTACCAAGAACAGCATGGCAGCAACTGAAAGAGCCTAGAAATTGGAGCCTCGTCGCTGCAGTGAAAAGATGTGAAAAGTGTGTTCAACCTCGTCACCCTCAGTGTGAGCCAACGCGTCCGATGCTCACGAACCAATCCTGCTGGGTCGTACTCAGCGTTGGAGAACCGCAGCCGACCCGGGTCCCAGAGTTCCAGTCTAGTGGCGTCCCACATTTGGTCACTCACAGCCAATGGCGATGGGCCGTAAGGTGAGCACTAGATGCTCAGGTCGTCAAGGAGCCAGTACAACAACACCAACACCAGCAGCAACAACCACCAGCACCACCACCACCACCAACAATAACCACAACAACCACAACCACAACCGCAACCACAACAACAACCATAACCACAAACACAAGACAACCACAACGACAGCCACAACCACAGCCACAGCCACAGCCACAGCCACAGCCACAGCCACAGCCACAGCCACAGCCACAGCCACAGCCACAACCACAACAAAATCATCATCAACAACATCAACATCAACATCACCATCATCAG